TGTGCGTGTATTTGCATTGTGTGTATTTGCACAGAGCATAATCAAAGCCTGTGCCCAGCAGTCGGCGGCGACGGGAGCATGCGGCGTATACGCAACATTTATTTTTAGCAAATTGTTTAACGACGCTTTTTTCCCATTTTTTATGTGCTCGTGTTTCTTTTTCGCATTGTGCACAATTAAGTTTTGAGACATATAGCGCATTTAGTACGCTGATCTAGGCAAACAATTGTGGGCAAGTTTCTAAGCACAGTTGAGCCAACGAAGCAAAGAAGCCGCCAAAGCGGAAGTCGAGAATGGGAGATGAGAAGAAGAAGAACGAAGCAACTTTGTTGCAACTGTATGATTTGTAATAAAATTTAATTTAATCTACATATTTTTGTTGTTGCTGTTGCTGCTGCTGTTGCTGTTGCTGTTGTTGTTGTTGCTGTTGCTGCTGCGCTACTTATGCAATCAGCGAGAATAAAGCGAAATTCGCAATTCGCAAAATCATTTTTAATGTACGTGACGAAATCTGATTTCAATGCGGCCAAGAGAACACACACACACACATATCTATTTGATATGTGTGTGTGTATGTATATGCAGATTGCAACTACATCATACATATATATTATTTATATATATAGCTCGACTATCTTGCAGCCAAATGCAATTTATCAACAGTTGGGCTTAAATTGTCTGCAGCGTTACGGAAAAATGATCAAGCGTAGGATGCGAGGGAGTCGCCATGGCCTTCCTCTCTCTCTCTCTCTCTCTCTCTCTCTCTCTCTCTCTGTCTTTATCTCTCTATGGTATGCTATGTGCTTGGCTAGCGTTAAATTCTCTAATAAGTGCAAATTGACAACAACAACAACTACAACAACAGCAACAGCGAGAGCAACAAGAGGCGCAATGCTGCCTTTTGCATTTTAATTGAATTTTTGCTCGAGTTGTTTTGTTGTTGTTGTTGTTGTTGAAGGCAATTACGTTTATAAGCATGCTGACTATATCGAACGGGAAGTCGGCAGCCTTAGCAATGAGATATATGTATATATGCATAGTATATATATTTATATCTATATATATTGCGTGCTGCCTGCATTCGTCTTGCTATATAGAACTTTTCATTTATTTAGCTGAAACATGATTTTACTTGTTCCAGTTATGTTCTTGAGGCTTTTCTGGTAGCATAATTCTTGTTACATAACAAGTCAATTAGGCCTTAAGCAATTTAGTTGTCTACAAGTTTCAAAGCGAGAAAGTGAAACTTATTTAAGGGAAAATTTATATAAGTTAATATTTTGTATAGTCCTGCAAATTATATAGATTTCAATCTTTTTTGCGCTAAGTTCCTTGTAAGAAAATAGTTTTTCAATTAACTATATTTTTACCAACGTTATGATTGATCAATTAATGTAAGGAATCTAATACATTTAGCTAATGTAAAATTTCAAGCTGAAAGTAACCGCTTTTAAATAAATTTAAAGTGAATATTGTTAACTAACTGTTATTGCTTGCCACATTCATRGAWAGTTAAACAATTCTCGATCGTAATATATACATCAATCTATAAGCGTTATCTAATTGGTTGTCAACGTAGGCCAAATTGCTTTTTGCATAATTCGCATAGCGCAAGCACACTTAGCCCCAGCTCACATCCTCAATTTACCTGGTCTTATCTAGCTAGCTATTATCACCTAAACACCTACACACGCACATGGGCAAAGAGTGTAAGACAGAGAGAGAGAGAGAGAGGGAGAGGGAGAGACAGACAAATACTTGACATCAATTTGGGGCAGAAAAAAAAAGGAAAATATTGACAAACATTTCGAATGCGTGTTTTACATAATCAAAAACATGAATAACACTTGGACCACAGCAACAACAACAAGCAACATATTCAATGTTGTAACAACATCAAAATGCAAATCTTTGCTGAAGCTGGCGATGAGCTGCAGCCTGCATTTTGGATATTGTCTGATATGTAATCACTTTTTTTTTGCAACATTTTGTATAACAACTGCAATAACAACAACAACAACCGCAAGTAGGGGGCTAACAAACACACTCACACATATATTGATATCTACGTAGCGCTGTTTTTATGTTGCGTAATGTTAGGCTACATAATCGCGTTTTTTAACAGATGCCTCAGCCTTGTGGCTCTTAACAGTTAACAGCACAAGAGCGCGCATCCGTTGGTTGAAGAGCGCCAACATGAATTTACTCTTATAATGTTAACGCGCTGCTGGGTGTGTGGGAGCAGTGCGCCTTTCTAGAGCGCTGTTAAGTGCGGGCGCAACATGTTGCTGGCATTATTCAAATGAATGTTAAGCTAACAGTAGCACAGCTCGCAACATTTCATGTGCTAACAATGCTGGCAACATGCTAATAGTGTAATAGTGTAACTAATGTTAGTTAACAGGCGCGTGCCGTGCTTTGACGGCAGCAGCGCTGTGAACGTCAACGTCAACGTCAGYGGCGACAGCAAACTAATTGTAAAATTTGCTATTTCGGCTAGTTGGGTGGCGGGGTGGGTGTTTTTGCTTGGTTTCTTTTATAGATATAGATGTATATTGTGTGTGTGTGTGTGAGTGTTTATGTAGATATATATATATTTGCATTTGCTTGGCAAGCGATCGTCTCCAAAAACGTTGTCAGATTTTGACATTTTCATTTTCATGTTCGTTTTAATTTTCTAGCCGTTTGACATTAAGTGCGCGATTTCGTTTGAATTTTCATTAGTTGGCGCCCATTAAGCAACAATTAGCATACAAGTTTTTGTTTATGAATTTCTCTAATAGTTTCTTTCGCTTCTTCTTTCTAGTGCCGAGCAACTTTAAGAGTCTCTGCTTGCGCGCTGAGGTCCTATTGAAGCTGAGCCACTATCAGAGCTCCCTGGCGGACATTGAGAATGCGCTCAGAACGCGCTGCACTTCAGCCAAGGTAAGACCACCCACTACAGTGATCACTCGCTACAGTTGCTCATATTCAACTCTCCCTTGCAGGCTCACTATCTGCGTGCCTTGGCCCTGAGCGGCTTGGGTCGCTTGGAGGAGGCGTTGCTCAATGGCTTCTTGGCCATTTGCCTGGACAGAAATACAAATCTCAGCAATTCGGAAATMTTTCAACATGATCTCGCCAAGGTGAGTCCACAACTCTATTCTGTTTACAGTTMATTAATTRCAGTTCTTTCTTTYAGATTCTGCAACGTCTTTTGGCTCAAACGCCCAAGAGTCGTGATTCTCTGCCSTCGCTGGCTGCGCAGCAGCAGCAGCGCAGCAAAGCGCCGTACACTCTGCTCTGGGAACAGCTGCGTCGCCGCAGGAAACAGCATCATCACCATGTGCACCTGGACGATGTGGAGGACGACTTCAGYCTGAGCTGCGAGCAGCAGCACTACGACAACTACATCATGGACGACGAGGAGGAGGTGGTGGAGGCAGCGGCCATGGACGGCGACTTTCTGTTTCCCAGCGCGCTCGACTACATCGATCCGCGCCAGGTGTACGATCAGCTGCACAGCGCCAAGCAGTTCGAGCTGCAGGCGCGTCGTCGTGCCAGTCGCAAGCATTGCCGCAGAAAATGGGCAGCGGCGCAGGCAGCGCAGTTGACGCCAGCCGCGACGGTCGAGACGGGACGCTGCAGTCGTTTGGTCAGCGACGTCCTGGAACGCACGCAGCAGGAGCTGCAGCGACTGAGAAGTGAGTTAATTACCAAAAATTACTAAAAATACCAAGAAAAATACCAAAAGGTATAGAAATGAAAATAGGTGGAATAAATTTAAGTATTTGATGAATGAGAACGTTAGGAATTAACCTAATATATATATTTTTTAATACTAACAAAATTAGTTTTTGGTATTTGTAAAATACTAAATATATCAACTATTTAATACGAATTCAGTATGTGAAAAAGCGATTCATATTAAGTTTTAATTCTAATCAAACCTCACTCTCTCCTTCTTTCTCCCTCTCTCTTTCTCTCTCTCTCTCTCGTTCTCTACTACAGAATTGGATAGCTCGGAGCAGCGACAGGTGTCGGTGGGCAGTCAGCTGATTGATGCCAGCGATTTCGACTGCGTGCTCTGCTGTCGCACGCTGTGGAAGCCGGTGGTGACGCCGTGTGGACACACCTACTGTCTGGTATGCTTGGATCGTTGCATGGATTACAACTCCTCGTGTCCATTGTGCATGTCACCACTTGTGGAACTAAATGTCAATAATCTGTATCAGGGCTCATCCTCGCCAGTACCCTTTGCGCTGGCCAAGCGGCCAGTTACGAAATTCCTAGAAGCCGCAATGAAACGATTCATTCCAGACCACTACGAAACCAGATTTCGACAGGAGATCGACCAGGAGCCGTCGGTGCCCGTATTCATATGCACCGCCGCCTTCCCCTCGGTGCCCTGTCCGCTGTTCGTCTGCGATCCGCGCTATCGCTTGATGGTGCGACGGGCCCTCGAGTCCGGCGACAAGACGTTCGGCATCGTCCAGCCGCACAACGGCAAGTCGCGCTACTATGACGTGGGCACCATTCTGGATATCAGGGACTGTGTGCTGCTGGGCGACGGCTGCTCCATACTGAGCACCATTGGCTGCAAGCGCTTCAAGATCTTGGCGCGCAGCGAAAAGGATGGCTATGAGACGGCCAAGGTGGAGTACATCTACGACGAGCCGATTGCCATCGATCAGGTGCAGTCGCTGGCCACGCTCCAGTCCCTGGTGCTGGCCAAGGCCATTGTCTGGTTCGAGAGTCTGAGCAGCGAGCAGAAGCACGAGATCCTCCAGAGCTATGGCCAAATGCCGCCGCTCGAGCACAGCTGGGAGCTGATCACTGACGGACCCGCCTGGGCCTGGTGGATCATCGCGCTGCTGCCGCTCTCCCAGCAGCTGAAGGTGAGTGCAAATTGGCGGAGAATTTCCATTTTCCTTCAACTAATTCCCATTCTCTCTCGCTCTCGCCTATCAGGTGGACATCTTGGCCACGACGTCGCTGATGAAACGTCTGCGTGCCATAGACAAGACGCTCGACTGGCTGCGCGAGCTCAGGCAGCGGCARCCGCAGCAGCAGCAGCAGACGCCGCAGTCGCAGTCGCAGCTGCAGCCGCACGATGATCTCAGCCTGGACTGCGAGGAGCAGGTGGCCGTCGATGAGGGGGCAGCCAACGGCGACGAGTGCTGCCTGTACGCCGAGCCACACACAGACGAGGAGCTGCTCGTGTAGTGCAGCAGCCYCTCGAATCATAGATCTAGCTTTAGTTATATATAGATGGTATATGTATGTGAATAGCGCTAGGTTGTAGCCGTAGTCGGGTGTCTGAAGCGTTTCTCAATGTGTAAAAGCAAATTCTGTGTCTAAAAGCCATTCGTATTACACTTTAACTGTTATCCTAGGGGCCAAAACGAAAAGGTATATATAGATCTATATATATATTTAACTTAGCAGAACCAAATTATCAGTAGCAACTGTAACTGTAACTGTAACTGTTAGCTATTAGCTTTTAGCTGTTAACTTTAACTATAACTGTAACTGTTAACTAGCAATGTTAAGCAACTGTAGCTATAAATACTGTAAACTAAATGTGTGTAAACGTTGAACTCGATGTGTGTAGCAAATGAGAGAGATTTACAATACATATATAGTACTATATAACTATCCATATATCTGTATATACATATACGAGTATATATATACTACACATACAATCAAAAGTCGCGCCCCTAACAATCTAGAGAGCCACCCCATATGTAACTTGTTGAAACCGTTGTAAAAAAAAAGCAAACTAAAAACACATTCCAAAATCAACTAAAACTGTAAACTAGATTGAATTCTCTGCAGCAAAAAAGTAACTTTAACAACAACAACAAGAATAACAACAACTCATGGTTTCTACAACACAAATTTTTTAAAGGGAAATACCAAAACTATGTAAAGGCCAAGAAAACTTTTTTGAAATGAATGAAGAGGAGAAAAAAAAAGCAGAGAAAACTCCTTGAGAGTTTTTTTTTTTTTTTTTTTCTTAAATTCTATGTTTTTTTTTCCTAGACTAAGCGGCTGGAACTATAAGACAATCTGCAAACCTATTTTTTCTTTGTTATATACTCTATATATATATATATAAACAAAAACTAAAAACGATAAAAATAGAAAATAATAATAAGCAGCAGAAGAAGAGGAAGAGCGTGTAGGTAGAATTTCATGTTTTTCCTTTTGCAAACGATTTGGCTTTAGATTTCCTTTCTAAGTAAACTCTATAGATGTCTCTTTCACACAAACTGTGTCCCTCTTTCTCCTCTTTCTATCTCTCTCTCTATCTCTCTCTTTGTTAAACTATATTCAAGTTATATATTCTTATAAATGCTTATATATATATATGTATG